TATATATACCCTTACAAGAATATATATATATATATATATATATATATATATGACTATTCCATTTTCTAGGTCACTTATCAAATATGCACATTTGACAATATGAGAACTTCTTGGCACTAAAGGTCAGATTTTGTTGCTTCCATTATATGATGCTAAATAATTAATTATTAAATATTGCACATACTTGTAAAGTCCATGTCAGCTTGAGTGCTACGGTCATCAAAGAAGGACACACAAAGCCTAATAAATACTATGAAAATTCTTAAATTACTTTAATATTTAACCTTTTCTCAAATTGTTATGCCACTGAGGTAAAAAGGCCTGTTCTGGATGGATGGATGGATGGATGGATAGAATAAGAATTACATAAACTAAAATTTGGTGCACCAAAATTTGCTGAAGTGGTTATATTGAATAAGTATGTACTTAGTTAAAACATATTGATATATTAAGAGTATTTGCATATGTTGACACATTTTGCCAAATCACTGTGGCAATACATATGATGCAAGTTTACACAGTTCATTAATTACTATTATTTGTTGTCCAAAACAATCTTTCAACATGTTTGTATGTAATTACTCATTTTGTTTTGCTATAATAATTGCTTTGTTTCATAATTGTTTCACCTTAAATTTAGCTGAAAATCTTAAAACAGACCGTTTAATCCTCCCCAGAGGAATTGTGTCCCAAAGGGTTTGTGCAAAAATAATAAATAAAAACAAATAAAATAAACTAAATTAAAAATAAATTATTCATTAAAAACAAAAGTGTGACAACTAGTCCTGGCCACTAATATAAATATATAGGCTTATTGACTGTGGAAGAGCAGTGAGTTGGATTAATTACAGTACATGATCATAGGTGTCAGTTCCCCGTTTGCACTCTATAAGTAGATCTTAATTATCTTTAAAACAAGACTGGATTTCAAATGTTATGTTAAAGTCCACCCATTGACATAGACAATGAGGGTAACAAGCACTGGTTTGCCGTGGCTGCTTCTTTTCAACATCTTTCTGTTTCTCTGAATGTTTTTTTTGAATAGACCAATAGAAATTAAATCGGTTAGCTTTTCCAATTAAAGAGTGGAAGGAAGCCTGCATTGTTTCTTCACCCAGACCATTCCTTCAGGCTGAAGCATTCATTGTGATTAATTCACAACAAAACAGGATGCCACCTCCACAGCCTTCACTTGTAACTGTGCTGAGAGATAAAGCTGACTCTGTCACTAACAGACTGCAGTCTCTTTTGTGCATCTAGCTAACAAAAGAAGCGGGCAACTAAAACACAAAGATAATTTATGTGTCTCTAACCTGTTTTCTGCAGATCAGGAAGTGGTGATCCTGGTTTCCCATTCTATTTGCATTAAAGGGCTTTTTTTATATCTGTCATCCTGCTTCAACAATGGCACAGCTGAAGAGCAAGTCCCTCTCTGAGTCAAAAATGCCAGGATGGTCCCATATTACACAGGATTTTGAAAAGGGCAATTTAGAGAGCCGAAGCATGATGGGCAGTTAGCGTTTGAAAGCTAACAGGGGATGACCGTCTCCAGTACGGCACAAAAATGATTGAATTTCAGCATCACAAGGGACTTTTTTAAACAAAACTGTGGGCTGTCACAATATTCTGACATATTCTGTCATGATTTCAGAGGAATACAGTAACTTTGATTTCAGGTCAGCAACATTGCATTACTCCAAAAAAAAAAAAAAGATTCTAGATTTTAAGTTTCAGATCGCAATAAATACTACTATAACAAAGCACTATATACTAAGACTCATAACTTTCCTATTTCTCCCCAAATGGCTGACTTATCGCATCCCAGGCAAAATGTTTCATCATGATGATGTCACAATAATAACAACAATACTTTGAAGATGCAGACATGGCTGCTGTACTGTTTGAGAGATTTTCAGTTGCAAGTTAATCTGTATTCCTTAATCTTTCTGTCCAATGTCCAAGCTAAATTTAGCACACGATAGTGTGCAATTCAATTCAAATGCAATTCAAGACTATAGGACAGACAAACAGCTATCTGTAAATTGTTACTATCATTTGCACCCAGTTAAGTCTTTGGACTTTTTTAAGATGAAAATAATCATAAAAAATTACTAGTTTCATTTGAGTTGATAGTCATGAGCTTTATCAGTGACCTAAATGTGATGGGATATCTCACCTAAACAAATAAATAAAATGCTGAACTTGGAAAATCTCCATAGATCAAGTTGTGATGATGCCAACTAAGCAAACTGTGCTGCTAAAAAAACTGAAATGAGCCAAATCAGCAAACAAACAATGATTAAACCTATTGAGAAGAAAACATTAAATATATACATCAAATATTTTATTTATTTTTTTTAGAAGGAAATTACATACCATCCTCCGTGGGAACATAAATGTTTAAGTACAGGCAGTCTTCGCTTTGATCTTGTACGTAGGTTACAATGGTATCCAAGTTGGCAGTGAACCATACGGGTAACATATCATTGAGTAAAAAACGATCTTCCAGAAACTGAGGACAAACAGGAGCAAACTGTGTGGCATTTCGAATCCCTGGCCACGACATGGGGGGCTCGGGGGGCTGAAACCTTCTCTCCCCAGTGGGCGGGAGGGCATAGGGAATCCCCAGATACTGTTCCACAGGCCCTAGAATCTCATTGGGCAGAGCCGTTTTCAAGCCTCTTAGCTTGCCGTAGTTTGTCGTGACAATAGGGTGCTGCTGGGCCCGTGCAATGGCCAGCCAAGCACCCGCAAGCACAATGCAGGTAAAAAGGCGTAGAGTAGCCAGTGGATGAACCATGGTGAGACGTATCCATGGGGTTCCTTTGAGCCGTGACATGGTCCAGCTGCGGTTAGCAGAGTTGGTTGAATTAACAGTCCTGCACTCCTTCCACAGCCAAGGTGAAACCCCGCCCTCACGATGCAATTGACAGATGATTGACAGCACACCCACCAATCAGATCAGCGATCATGTCATTCCCCCATGCCATGAGGGCGATTCTGGATCTCAGTTGTATTTTTGTTGTTCTTTAACTGCTATCCTTCTTTCCCCCTGAGCCGTCCTCTGGTGTAACTACTCCCTCCTTTCAATACCTCCTTTATTGGTTTGCCTGTGGGAAAGAAAGAACAGCCTATAAATTTGCATTCATTGTCACAAACAAAAACAGAGGAATTCCATTTCCTTCATTATTTTGCATGTTTTGCATTAAACATCGGAGACACCAAAGTAAACTTGCATGCAAGAGAAACATACAATAATAGACTCAAATAGAAAATAAATACTAACACTTACACATCATTATACTCTAGATTCAAACAATAGCTATTTTGAAATATGATTCTGTTTCTATTGACTGGGCCACAATTTATACAGTAAGTGGTCTGGTAAATTGATAGGCTCAAATAACTGTGTGCGTAGCACTGTAGCGTATACACAAAATATTGTATAGTATTTATGAGGTAAGTTGCACTGAATAAGGCTGCTTAGAACATATTGATCTATTTGCCTGGAAACTGTCTATATATGACTGAATCAGGCTCTTTCTGAGCAGTTATGTTTTAGAACAGCAATTGAGTTCAGTCTATACGTTCTCTATTCTCTTTCTCATCACTTAGTGTAGAAATGACCGGTCTAAGACTTTGAAGTGTTTTGATGTCATGGTCCTAAATCTTTCAGTTGTCATTGTGATGTTCCATTATTCTTCACATTTGAATTTATTATGTATTTGGCAGACACTTTTATCTAAAGCAAATTACACTGCATTCAAGTTACACATTTTAAATGTTCATGCATTCCCTGGAATTACAACCTATGACCTTCTATGAACTTTGTATGTGAGATGTGAAGACAATGAGCATGATCAGAGATCAGAAAATTCATCAGGGTCTGGCTGAGTCATCTACATAAATTACAAGTTCAAATTTGGGAATTTTAGCAATATGAAACCTTTCATGTAATTACAAAAGAATGAATGACACTAAATACAGTCAATTGAGACTCCTCGTTTTGGAAATGCTAAAGGTCACAGTGTTTCCAGAAATTTTCCAGGAAGATCCTCTGGAATAAATCAAATGCATTCAAAAGAAATTTCATTAGAGACATATATTGGAGTAGACGTTAATACAAATTTGCCTCTTATTTAAATATATGTGAATTGTAAAATGGTATGTCTGCATCACATTTATTATTTGAACAAATTATGATCTTTACACCTGAATGAACAAACAAAAGAAATGCACAAAGCTGAGAGCAGATTATGCACAAGAAATTCTACCCTGCGTGTGAATTTGAATAATGAATGCTCCATGCATTTCATCCACATACAAAAAAAGAGGAGGAAGAGAGTGGGTGTGAAAACAAGAATCACAAAGACCCACATAAGTTGGTGTTTTTGATACTCTTGAACTTAAACACAGTCATACAAAACAAACTGTAGCTCTGATTTGTTGAACTTCATATACAGTTCAAGATCATCACATGGATTGTTCATGCACATTTGCCTCAAATTACTGAACTAGGCTCGCTGGAGCCTCTGGAGGGAAACTTTAATGACTTGAGTCCTGAGTAAATCTACAAGTGATGAGCTCCTTCGTTCACTCTGATCCCTCCATTAATAGCTCTGTCAGTGAAAGCAAAGCAAAGTTTCCTATGAGACTGTTCCTGTATCGGTACCTCTTATTTAAAGAGTAATCTAAGCCATACAAGGGCATCATTCTATCAACATCTTCAAAATATGGTGTCTTTAACAAATGTCACACCCAGCATTATCTACACTGTCATTTTCAAAGCCTGTCTAAATAATTCTTCAAAAATCTGCGATCGATTGACATAACTTCCTCATATCACAAAGCAATTTCAGCAGAGATCAGATGGTAGATAGCGTAACCCATGGAAAGTTAATTGTGCGAATAAAGCAGTGATGATATAATAGACTCATTGAGACAGTCACATTAACTTAAATTGGTGTTGAGCAATGCTAAATTACAAAAAAGATTTGGGTTATCTTCACTTTTCCACTTCATAACAGAACGCTTTACAACAGCAGGATGTTTTAAGCACTGCCAGTCACAAGAGAAAACAAGAAAGCACATGAAAACAAACAACACGGAAGCATTATCTCCTATATACAATGCAGAAAACAACCCCCGGTACAGTAAATGACTGTAAAATATTATTCTGATAAATATTTACTGGGAGTTTGGAGCATCTGAAAGGTGAAATGTGAAAAGACAGCATCTAATGAAGGAGTACGACTTTAATAAGGCTTGAGTCCCAGTACACGTCATGCTTTAAAAGATCTTAATTGGTGGTCTCAGAAAGACACCCTGGGGTTTTAAGTCCACTCTTTTTTTTAAAGGGGTCGTACAATTCTGTTTCATGCATTCAAAGTTGTTTACAATGTTAAAGAGTTGGATTCTCATGGACAAAGTTTCAAAAAACAATTTGGACACATGGAGGAGTATTTCTGTGCCAAAAATCATACGTCCAGGTTCGTACAAGTTTCGGAGAGTTTTTTTTCGATCGTGGCTCTTCATGACGTAGACGACGGTGGAACTCCTTATATGGGCATTTCTCCTGGAAGAGCGCACCCGTGCATGCATCGACCAGAGTGAGAGCAAGTAACCCATCAACGCGCTTCATCCGGCAGTAGCGCTGCACGGGACTTGCTCGGGAAGAATGTCTCCAATCCAAAGAAGTGTGTTTTTGGTTGTAAGGGAAAGATAACTTTGTTCAGCTTCCTAAAGAATGTCTGTTTTGTTGGCATTCGGCGCCCAAGTGCTCGTCACTCTTTAGCTCCACCCACGGCGCACCTCCAGGAGCTCGGCTTTTTCCGGAGAGAATCGTAAAGCTGTATCTTTCTTTTATAAATATGATAAAACTAAAGACTTTTTGGAGATATGAAGGATGCTGTACTACTCTATAGGTACACAATATTAACATGAGATTGCATGAAACTGTGTGTGTTATGCCCCCTTTAATTAAAACCATCATTTAACCCAGATATCAAGACATACAGTGTGTGCAAGAGATATAAAAAAGAAACTTACTCTTAAAGCTGCAGTCCGTAACTTTTTTTGGTTAAAAATTATCCGAAATCAATATTTGAGCAAGTACATAACCAGCCAGTGTTCAAAACTATTGCCTTACTTTAGCCCGATTCACAACAGTAGCTTATAATAATATTTTCTAATTTGAGTGGTACGGGTAGGTTTTCGCGGGAAATTCGAGTATGGCACTGCGCTTTGATGTGATATTTGCTCATTTAGATTTAATCACCATTGGTAGCGCGATTTATTGTAATGCCTTTTTCCTCAGTTGGCCACAAGAAACGTGGCAGAATTGTTACTTGTTCAGATGACAATATCCAGTGAAAATGCTTATTTGAGTCATATATTCCAAGATGTAGGCTAGAATCTGTGATTGCGAAGTACAGTAAATATCCACACCGGTGCGGTGACTGACTGCCACACATACTCTTCAGAACATTAGATTCATCCGCGCTGGAGCCGAGCCACCGCACAACCCACGCAAGCTAGATAATTCCGCACACTGCTGCAATTCCAGGTATTCAAACAGAGATGGCAACAAAGAGGCAAAACTTACGGACTGCAGCTTTAAATAAACCACATTTTAATAAACTTGGTAAACAATTGACAATTAAGACAGCATTATCAATCAACAGGTCTTTGTTGATCTAAGAGGTAGGCCTACTGATTTTTAAGCTTTCATTAGTTTTCGCTTTGCAGTTTATCATTCATTATATATTATGACATTGAGATGGGCATTTCAGAAAATCATTCACGTTACATAGGCTATTTGTCCTCCAAAGCAGATGGGCCTGAATGTCTGGCCGGCAATTTAATTTCCAACGCAGACAAAAAGCTATGTAACATCCACCAGTTTGCATGCACTCTCCATCTGATGTCCAGACAGACCAGCCAAGAGGGATTTATTCAATAACTTTGCGCCAATATTCCTACATCCTCAAGCAATGCTTACATTTAAGAAGCTCAGTATAAGGAGGCACTTTCTGCCAAAATACCATATTACAACAAAGAACAAATAATAAAGTTGTCCATACTGGATATCAGCCCAAAGAGATAGCTCACCCCAAATGGAAAATTGTGTAATTTACTCGTCCTCATGTTGTTTAAAACGTGTATGAAGGTTTTTTGTGTGTTTTTTTTAGAAAAATTAGTTTTGTCCACACAATGAGACAAAACAACATTTGTCCCCACTGACTTCCATTGGTTGTCTGGGGTAAATAATAAGAAGAAATAAGAATAAGAAGTGTTTCATAGAAGAAAGAATGTAATTCAGATTTGGAGCAAGAACAAATTATTTTTTTATTTTGTGTGAACTGTTCCTTCAGTGCCAAGTAACTGTGATTTGTTTGATTTTAAGAAATAAACACATATTCTCCCAGTTTAATGTCCTCAATTGATGAATTATAATACATGCTATTTTCTAGTATTACATGCATAAAGAATGTGTGTTTCTGTCAGTTACATTTAGATAAAGGTAATTGGGTGGAATTTCCATTGTAAATGTACCGCACACTTCCCTTAAAAGTACCTTCGATACATGAGTGAGTATGACAAATAAAAAGAAGTGAGAAATGAGACCAAAGAGAACAAAAGGAGAGAAAATAGCATTCACTGCCTGTGTGATCACCGAAGATAACTCACGCGAATCTCAATGAAGGTGCTGGGTCTCTCTCTGAATTTTAATTATAATAAATGATCTATTTGAAGGAGGTTCAAACAATTGCACTGTTCAAAGAGTGACTCATGACGCAAAGGAGACAATAAATTCGGGTCCAAGCGATAGACAAAAGACAAAGGAATAAAGCATAGAATCCACTGTGACCTTTGGGTGAACTTCGGATAAATGTGGTGCGATTCCGCCGCAAATGCACCTGCTATGACTTATTCAACATGGCGTCTGGGCTGGCAAGTCAGCTGGAATTTGTTTTCTCAAGCTGTATTCTCTTCTTTATCTTTCTGTCAGTTGACTGAGTGTGGACAGAAACCCCAGAAAGCAAAGAGAGAGAGTGAAAATTGTATTCAAAGGTAACACCAACAGCCAACCACT